AGCGGTACTGATATTTATAAACAGTCACAAAATTAAGAACAATCTTTATCCCTCCCCCCTAAACTCAAAAAATTAAAAAAAAATTAAATATTGAAGATGTAGTTGGAATAACAAAATACAAAACAAACGGCTCAACATTGTGAAACTCATTCTACATAATCAGTGGAACCTGTCTTCATTTCGCGGAGTATTTTGGGATTCTTCGAAGTTAACTTCGTGATTGGGGATGTCCAAGATCTGGGATCATTTTGAGAAGAATGCGCAAGAGTGGGTGATAGACTTTTGACTGAAATGATTGCTGCTTGTAATGCACCATAAAGCATTGTTGAGAATGAAGCCTTCAAAAGATTTCTTAAGTATTATCAAAGAGTGCAAGAAATCTGTAGCAGAAGGAAGATAAGGAAACTGATAGGCTCAAGATCAAACGAAATCGATGAGTTATCTCGTCAAAAGTTAGACGAGGCACTAGCTATAAGCTTAACAGTGGACTGCTAGAACACGCCTAATAGGAAGTATGAGTATTTTGCCATCACATGTTGCATCATTAGAAAGACTTCCTCAGAACAAATTTTTTGTTGGTTTTTTTACCTTTTTACAAATTTTTTGTTGGTTCAAAAAATGATTACTAATCAATGAACAAAAAGGAAAATAGGAATAAATGTTTTACTTCTAGTTTTTTGTTCTAGAAAGATTCAACTCCAGTTTATTGCAGTTGATTGCATTTGATTATTCTCAAAAATTTGAAACCAACTGCTGTTTTTTGAAGTCATTGGCAAGCTTTCCTTGGAAGTTGAAAGTTGGAACAGGTCAAAATGCGATTTTACGCCCAAGTATACTTTGTTTCTTTATTTCTGCGATTTTCCGTGCTTTCTGGTGAACGTAGTTCATCAGCTTCAATAAGTCTGCGAATGCAAGAAAAGCTTTCTTTTTAGTCACATAGAGATACTCCTGGAACCTCGGATAATTTTTTTTTGTTCTAATAGTTAAAATTGGTCTAGCGTTTCCTATTCACTTCATGCAGGAAACTTTTCAGATGCTTTGCTGTTTCCGCCTGTAATCTTGTACCGACTGTTTACCCTTAGTGTGAATATTTCACCGTTGGTTTTGATGGTTGAAGCAAATCGGTTCAGATTTGATCGCCAAAACTCATCCAGCATAGCGTCTACATTTTTGGCATACCTGATATTGCTCATAACAGTAATGAGACACAACGCAAGTAGAACCAACAAACTCAGGGGGGGGGGTAAGGAGAATACATAAGTCGTAATAAGATGGAAAAGCCATAACAGACAGTACATCCAGGGCAGTCATAATCCACAAGTTCATATGCCAGTGCATAGGAGAAAGAGGACAGTAACTCATAGTTATCGCACGTAACATTGAATCAATAAGAAACAAGGAAAATACACATCAACTAGGAAAGTGGAAGGCTGAGAATTCAATAGGTTTCGAAAGAACTTGAGTTCTGGAAAGCGGAATAGGAATAGCGTATATGTATGGAAAGAGTATTGGAATCTGGATAAGAAGGGGATAAAGTAAGTTAGTCGGAGGCTTCAGGTTCAGTCAGTCAAAGAGCGACAAAGGGTTGCTCATCACCATCTCGTACAATCGTTCCAGAACATCCTGAACTGTAGACATCGCTTCTTGTTCCCGGTGATTGGCTTCGTTGCCTGAAAAAAAAGTAAAATGAATAGAAGAATAGACGTACCTATGTCAGTCATGTCAG